TTGGACCTGCCCCAAGGAAGTCCACACAGCAATCCTGCGAGTCCATCTGTGCACTGGACAGGTCAGTTCCCAAGCCTGCTGGGGGCACCATGTGGCCCCAGTGTAAGTACTAGGCAGACACAACAATGCTCTGCACTTTCTCTGCTTTACTCACTGGTCACAGACCGCATCTGAGACTTGCATGAACTTACAAATAAGTTTTGCTTGGATCACAATATTTATTTAAGTGGAGGTTGTTGCCTATATGTACACATGAGCCATTTCACTCCTGGCTTCTCTTTTAAAAGCAGAAATGCCGGAAAACAGTGGGTCCATGATGCTACATGCTCCACAGGGTCATCAGAGTGTTTAAGACCTTCCAGGGGCTCCAAGGGTTCCAGGACACCACTAAAGCACACAGATTAGGAAGGAAAAAATAAAACTGTGCCTTTGTACAGGCAACATGATTGTGTAGAAAATCCTAAGGAATCTATCAAAAAAATTTTACCAAACTGCTAGAACTGGTAAATTAATTTAACAAGTCACAGGAATAAAGATCGATACACACGCACATACACACATATACATGCATACACACACACACACATACACACATACACTTACACACATGCACACGGAGACACATGCATACACATGGGCACTGACACATGCAGAGACACACACATGCATGCACACACATACACACATACATACACTCACACATACACACATACACTAACACATATACATACATACATAAACACATACACATAAACACACACATATACACACCTACACACACACTATCTTACTTGTAAACTAGCAATGCTAGCAATGAGCATGTAGAAAATGAAACGAAAAGCACCGTGTTGTTCACGAGTGCTCAAAAAGAAGACAAAATACCCAGGTATAAATCTAACACAACACATGCAACATCCAGATACTTAAATTTACAAAACACTGGTGATAGAAGCCAAGGAATATTTAACTAAATTGCAAGAGGTACCATGTTTATGGACTGGAAGACTCAACATAGTAAAGATGTCAATGTTCCCAGTATTGATCTATAAGTTTAATACGATTCCGATCAAAATACCAGGAAGATTGTTTTGGTAGATACACGCAAACTTACTTGAAAATTTATCTGGAAAGGCAAAGAAACGAGAATGCTTGAAATAATTTTGAAATAGAATAAAGTGCATCATAAGCTTCTTTCTTGCCCGTCATTGTGTTTCCTATACCGCCCCATCTGTGTTTTATTAGTAAGGTCTGGATGTGCCTCCTTGGTTGAATTTCTCCTTCAGCCAAGTCCTGGGCCAGTCCCAGCTCTCCTTGAGGTGTCACAAATGGCCCTGCCCTTGTGGGAGCCACACCAGGGTTCAGGTTCTGAGTGTGGTGGCCCTGCCTGCAAACTCAGTGCTCCGGAGTTTGGAGTGTTTTCTGGAAACTGGCATCACTAGCCCAGGGAAAGCTTGGGCTTGGTGGAGATGAGAGGGCTGCTCCACACACAAGGAGTTGAGTGAAGATGTTGACACGTGCTTATAACAGACTGTGCGCCTCGCTGCAAACTTCAGGGAGGGAGCCGCTGACAAGCATTCAAACCCAACAGAGCCTTCTCCGGGTGTGGGGGTGGGGGGATGTGTTAGCACCTGGGATACATAGACGGTTATATACAAGGAGGCTTATGTCATAAGTGATCATTGTATCATGAAAAAATTGATGAGCTTGGAAATAAGTCTTATAAGTAGAGCAATGACTTGGATATAGAAATATTTCTCTGAATCTTGGCTGACTTTTATGAACTGGTCTGGAGTAAAATATATGCATCTTTGCGTGTCTCGTTTCATAGGATTGCGGTAAGAATTGGGTTAGATTATGTGGAAAACCATGTAATGCAGTGATTAGCCCAATTAGTATTATTTCTCTGCTCCCCTCCCCTTTACTGGACATAAAACAATATTCCTGATTTTCAGAATGTGGTCATCAGGACTAAAGTAGCCGATTTCTTTAGGGCTCGGTACGTGCTCACCTGTGGGAAGCATCTTACCATCAACTCCTCCTCTTCTTCGGCTGGGTGAGGTTTTTCCAAGCTCACCCCCTCCTCTCTTTGTTTGTGTCCTCATCTCTTCCCTTCCCCATCACCAGCCTTGCTCCACACCATTGTCACCCAGACCTGCCCAGCCCCGCTCACCTGGGACAGAGAGCAGCAGCAGAGCCGATGGCAGCCATATGGCCCCGTCCCTCTGGTGTCTCTCCTGCTGCAGCTGGAACCCCTCACCCAGGGGCCGCTCACCCTGTCCCCCCTCTTCTGCAATTCTTGGCACTTCTCTGCTTCCTTCTTCAGCCTCTTGGTTCTGTTCTCAGGGCTGGTCAGAAAATGGGGGAAGCGAGAGGCTCAGAGCATCATGTGGCCAGTCGATTACTTGCTAAAGTTCATCCTCAGAAACATTTGAATGCACCGTTCTGCTTTCTGTTCCTGTGAAGATCATGCCCTTACTATGACTGCACCCGCAGCAGCCGACACACCCTCCTGTCACACAGTAGGGTGGTCCCAGCTGACTTCCATCTAGATTTTCCCACCCTGTCCTCCTATCTAGGAATAGCAAATGTCTTGTGGCTGGCATGTTTGAGAAATTGCATGGAGGCATGTGAAGCTGCTGAGAAGCATATGGAGGTCAGAGAACTGGAAGGCTGCTTAGTCTGCAAATGTTCAGTGCATCGATGGTGACAGGCACTCAGTTAAGAACAGTGGGCAGAACAGTGGGCAGGTGGAGGCATGGTTAGATTCTGGACATTGATATTTTGAAGAAAGAGCAGCAGGATAGCTTAAAACTTTTTTGATGTTTATTTATGTTTTGAGAGAGAGAGAGAGAGAGAGAGAGGGACAGGGTGAGAGCAGGGGAGGGGCAGACAGAGAAGGAGACACAGACCCGAAGCAGGCTCCGGGCTTCCAGCTGTCAGCACACAGAGCAACGCGGGGCTCGAAATCAGGCAACATGAGATCATGACCTGAGCCAAAGTCAGATGCCCAACCAACTGAGCCATCCAGGTACCACAGAGCAGCAGGATATCTTAACAGATTAGATATGAGCAAGAGAG